CTTGTTTTACGGGGAAAAGGAGCAGAGAGGAGGCGGTTTTGAGTTCTTCATCTACGACTTGTGGTCTCCATAGTACTGAGGATGAACCAGAAGACAGGGGATATTTGTTCCATTCTTGAAAACCATGCATATGACCAGAGATCTAATATGGAGATTTTCTTTCTGATAATAGTTTCTTTCTGCCATTCCAGACAGGAAGAAACAGCTGAGGAATTACATGTATAAAAAAGATTGCTACTGATGAGTCTCCTCTAAAGCAGGATAAAGTGTTAACATTAACATATTTTCTTCTCAAATAAGCAAAAGGCAATCATAATTCTCTTCCAAGCTGTTTCAGGAGATTTTTCAAAAATAAGAAAACAATCAGTAACAAAATCACTTCTAAAACAATGTGAATACTCTTAGAAACGTAAAAGGACAAGATTGGAAATACCATATGATTTTGACCCAGAATATAAATCTGCAGTAGACAATTGATAAACAGCAGGAATTCATTTAAATGTGCAGGCTAAGTGGCAGTAATTTAAAATTCCACATTTTCTTCTTAAGTGTAGTCCTTGACAATTGTTCTTGGAGTTGCTTTCACTACTCCCAAATCCACATCTTCAGGTAGCTGCTTAAAAAGCAGCTGCCCACTGGATAACTCCCAATAAATATTGCAAAGGTACTACAAGCCCAACATGAATATTCTGTTACACTTTATTCTTTTTCTTAAACCCCACCCTTCAAATTGCCCTTCCTATCTTTGTTGGTTGAGAAAGAAATTTGACATGCAATCAGTGAACAAACTGTTTTGATATCTCTAGTGTCTGCCTCCTCTGCAGACCCTGCTTCAGAGCGAGGTCAGCCCTCCCTGCCTGCGCTATTAAAATAAGCCCTCAGCTCACCTCCACGTCTCCAGTCAGTCACTCACTAATCCGAGATGGCAGCCAGAGTGATCCTTCTAAAAAAGCGAATCTCATCATTCTTCCCAGGGCTTAAAATCCTTCAGTGGCTCCTCATTGATTAATGGATAGAGTCCAAACTTCTTAGTGTGCCAGACTAACCTCTGCTATTTCTACAACCTTATTGATTGCCTTATCTTTTGCCTCTGGATAAGAGATGCTTCGTTTAAGCTGAATTTCTTCAAATTCCCTTTATAGGCTACTGAAAGGGATCAAGAGTTCAAGAGGAATTTTCTATGAGAAGTTTTCTATTTTATGTTTTAATTTTGATGATTATCTTTAAAAATAATATAAGCATATTTTGAACAATCTATGTAAGTACTTTTCAAAATTTAATGTACATAGGAATCAACAGGAGATTTTATGGGGCAAACTCTGATTCAGTAAGTCCTGTATGGCCCAAGATAGTTCAAAAAAGATTCCAGGTAATGCCAATACTGCCATGTTGTGGACCACATTTTGAGGAGTAAAGTTCTAGAATGAGGATCACTTAATAACTGACTCTACCACAAAATTGTGTCATTGTCATAGACTGAGAAAGAAAAGAAGCAGGCAAATTTTCAGTGACCCATCATTACAAATGAAGACCAAATGACATTGTCACAGCTTGTTGTATAAATAAAGACCTGGCAATAGTTCTAAAATTTTTTTAAATGGATAAAAGAATTAAATCACCATTAAGAGCAAAGTAGCAATCCCGCCAAGTAGTGCCCCCCCTGCCCCATCAGCTTGAAAAGATTCATAGCAATCAGGATAATAGTGCTTCAACAAAAAACTCACTTACACCATTAAATTGATACTATTTAAATGATACTGATTTTGTATTTTTCTTTATAATTAATTTTCTTCACTTGTTTGTTTTTATAATCATAAAATAGCTATAAGCATTAGTGTTATGTCCCCATATGGTTGAAAAAAACCAATTTAAATTGACTACAAAGCACATGAGAAATTTACTCCTTTATAGGAGAGCTGGACACTATGCTAGTCAGAGAGATACTGGACTGAGCCTAATGGTACTTTTTGCCTTTGCTTCTGATATGACTTCTGCCTGTGGAGGGATTGCCCTTCTGTAATCCCTTGCCAGCAGCACGGCTGTGTTTACTTAGCAAATATCTACTTCATCCTGTTGCTCCTTTTCTGAGACCAAACATCAACTTTCTACACAATGGTGTCCTATCCTAATTTCTTTCATAGCATTTGCTATTCACTCATATTGCTTATTTTATTGACTATCACTTCTAGCCAAAGGAAGACTATCTTGTCTTCTTGTCTTATCTGTAATTGTTCATCACATCATACCTGCTCAAAAAATATTTTCTGAAAGAATAAAAAGAGGTAAACTTGATTTGTTTTTTTATGACAGTGTAATCAATCTGCCATGTGTTGTTTCTAAGTGAAAAAATTAAAAGTATAAAATAATTGTACTATTCTTCTACATGTAACTTGATTCTAATATTGTAATTCAGAGGCCTCACTTGTCTTCCAAAGAATCTGCTGAAAAGTCTGTGTTTACCCTAATTTTCCAGAGATCTGTTTATTGAGGTCGAAGCTTAGAGAATTTTCAAATAATGCAAAAAGAACATTGTGATTACATTTTGGTTGATGTGTCATCAAAACTAAAAATAGAATGGAAAGACTGAAAATCTTTATTTGAATCTCCAGCCAAACTATGGTTAAACATTATGGATGAGCTGGAATTGTGGCTAACGTTCAACTTTCAACTTTCATTTAAGGAGGATAAATTCTGGCCGCACTGAAGTCTTCCTACTTCCCAGCAGATCATTTTTGCCATTCAATTTTGCTTAGCACCTTCTCTGGGGCTAGAAGAGAGAGTGAAGTTCATTTGTCTTTGAGAACAAGACGAAAACCTGAAGTACAACATTTAGCTTTATTTGTTGAGCTTTTTTTGACCTAGATATAGAAAGATGCCTATTTTGGAATATGGAAGACCAGGGTGCTGGACTAGTGTAAAGTTGAGTTAGAATTGGGTTTGGGAGAAAGTGGGAGATAGGAAATGGGTTCCATCCACTCTTTCTTTAATGCAAAAATATGACTGTACCAACATGCAAATGCCATTTGAGAAAATGGTTTAATGAAACAAAATCATGTTGGCAAAATGCAGGGGTTTTTTGTTTTTTTTGGTACCAGGGATGGAACTTGGGTCCTTATGCTTTCTCAGCAGGTGGCGAAACCACTGTGCTAAATCCCTGGCCCTCAGGTTTATTTTTTGTTAACTGCTTATACTTCATCATGAGAACACTATTCTCTTGATCCTAGAAGCCATAGAAACTTGTACACCTTAGTAGCTTTTGAGGATAGTTCTTGTATGGCTTTAAGGAAGCAGTTCTCCACTTGGAATAAACAGTCTAGGAAGGAGATTTCTCCTGCAACTCCTTCAGAAGTCCTTTTTTACTCTCCAGTAGCATCGAATTGTCTCCAAGCTCATGATTGTCTTACCTCTGGGCCTCTCTTCCTGGAATATCCCTTCTCATCCAAGGAAAAAACTCATTTTTAAAAGAAAATTTATGTAGACATTCACTCCTTCAGAAAGCTTTCCAGCTATTCAGTCTGTCCTTCAGGTTAGCATTATGTCTCCTCCAAGTGTCACAGAGGACTTAATATACATTCATTTGTTGGTCCAATTCCAATAGGGGAAAATCAGATAAATGTTAGACATGTGGAATCTTAAGCCTGTGGTACAGTGGAAAGAATACTTGATCAGAAATCCATACATGTGGTTTCAAATCCTCTGTCTCTATACAGCAAATAGAGATGTTTTCTCTTTTGTATGTTTTATAGATTGTCTACATTTCACTATTCTATTTAGAGATAGAGTATTCATCAGTTTGCCTGACCACTGTCACCCAATCTCAACACTGCATATGCTCAAATAATCATTATATTGAACTAAATTAAAAGTGCCATTCTTGTTACTGCTCAAATATGGCCTTCTGCTTTCATAGAACCTTGGTGCAAAAATCACAGGGCCTTTTTCCTTTAGCAAAGAGAAAAACATGCAGACTAAAAACAGATTTGTCCTATTTATTTTCTGATGTGTCAGAAAACTGTCCACCCATATGTCAGAGAGTAAGTGTTATTTAACATTGTTGTTTTGCTAACATTGTGCTTATAAAGGAACTGAACTCGGCTTCCAGACTGGACTTATCCCTGATACCCTTGCTCTACCTGTAAACTGTGTTCTACGTGGATCCCTATCCTGGGAATCTCATTTTTGAGACATATCTAAACAATCTGCATTCTGAACATCTTAAGTGCCTACGCACTAACCACAGCTGTTTGTTTATTTCCTGTTCCAACAGGGACAAATATAACCACTACTTTTTGCCTTTTAAGGTAACAATCCAATTTAATACTTGGTGGGGGAGGAGTGGTGGACAGGGGAGAAGCCATCTTAGTCACAGAAGAAACAAAAATACAAAATATCATAACATTTCTGTTCTTTGAACATTTCCTTTGAAGATGGCAGCAAAATTTATTGATGTTTTTGGAGATAACATCTTTCTATGTAGTCCAGGCTGGCCCTGAATTCTCAATCCTCATGCTTCAGCCTCCTGACTGCTGGAATTAGAGCAATGCATCATCAAATTCAACTTAAAAGACTGACTTTTATAGACAGCTTTCAAAACTATCATATATTATGGTTCGTTAGAGCTCAGTTTTTATTGTCTTTATATGTTATTACACAGAAATTCTTCAGAATAGTTCAGGATAGAAGCTCCCCCCTTATTTTGTTAATGAACTATAAGATTTTTAATTAAAGATTATGCCATGATTAGTCATATTTATCACCGACTCCACATGGTGCATTCCTGACAGCATTTCTCCGAGAAATTTCTATTCATTATATTTATCAGTAATTTTGTGGAGAGGGGTATTCTTTAAAGATCATATTTATCTCTTAAGTTTCTAAAGACCTTTGTATTTCACATCTTTCAATTGTAAGTGACAAAAAATCAACTTGACTATTTTGTGAGAATAAGGGCTTAATTGAACATTTCAGGAGCATAACTTTCAACATGGCATAATTTAGATCTTTTCTATGTCTATCATTTTTTAATGTCTATTTTCAATTCTATCCCTAACCCTCAGCTCAGGTTTTTGGTGATAACTGGCCTGAGAGTAAAATCTAAAGCTACTTACTTACAGCTTTATATATTTCCTAGTGCTTGCTGTTCTAGAAAATGAAAGACTCTATGTTCATATAACAAAGCTCAAAGAGGAACCAGGTGTCCATATCTGGGACCAGTCTCAGCAGAATGAGGCTTGGGGCATTTTGACTTGTCAATTTTGTGTCACTCGCTAAACCAGGAGACTGGTGGGCCTTTCAGAATTAATCTTTGTATCAGAAGTAGGAAGGTGCAGTTCCTGGAAAGAAAAGAGATTGCTGAAGATTAGACAGTAGTAGGTGTCCACTAGTGTTATCCCTTTTGCTGATATTCAGGTTGGAGAACACATTAACTACTTTAAAATTTTTCTTTATTCTCTATGGAAATGACATAGAGACATACAAATTTATCTCTCAAAGTAAGAGTAATTTCATGTACTTTATGACCTGGGAAAACTCTGGAGTATTTTTCAAGTATTTGAAAACAACCAAAAGAAAGTAATTTTCAATATAGTACACTATTATAAGAAAGAAACACCAATAGGTACAAAAAATCCTGTTGTAACTTTTTTACTTTTTAGATACAATATTCTTTTAAAAATTTCAAGTTTTACTGTTGGAATCACTGACGAATAAGTTGGAAAAATAAAACTACTAGAAATAAAGAAAAGCTCATACTTAATAAAGTAATATAGTACAACGTGATTTTTAAAATGCTATGGTATTGCTCTGATTTCCCTTAAATATTCTTCTACAGTGTCCGGGTAGGGTAAAAGAGAGAATTGGGCCAGAATTGCAGCAGAGAAAGAGTAAAACCATGTAAAGAAGGCTCCTCCTCCTCTCCCCTTCCCCCTCCCCCTCCCCCTCCCCCTCCCCCTCCTCCTCGTCCTTTGTTAAAGGGTAGGTAGCTTCATGCAGGCTGGTGGCAAAGCCTGAGAGAACAAAGGCAGGAAATAATAGAGGTCAGCAAGTACCTGGACTGGAAGCTAAGTGTGGACATCTAACTTGTATTGTCTGTTCCTAAAAACAAGAAGGAACCCAGCAGAGTTCTTTAATTCCTAGAATCTCGAAAGCCCAATCATTAACAAATATTTAATTATTCAGGTTTAATACCTTCACTTTTATATAATTTCATGATTAGATATCACCTTGAGAAAGTAGAAAGTTAAAAATAAAATCTGAAAAAATTCATCAATGTGAATTTTGTAAATAAAATAACAAACAAGAACACCAGCATTAGCTGGGCACGGTGGACGATGCCTGTTATCTCAGCACTCAGGAGGCTGAAGCAGGAAGAAAACTGCAAGTTTGAGGCCAGGCTGGGCTGCATAGTAGTTACAAGGCCAACCTGAACTACACAGAGAGACTCTCTCAAAAACAAAATGAAACAAAACAAATAAACAAAAACTAAACAAAACCAAAAAAGTGCCATTGCTAGATTGGACTAAAAATTACAATGCACAAAGTGGGCTGATAAAGTTAATTGTAAAGACAAAGGAGTTAGACTTCATGGAAAACTATATTAAAATAAACCAAAAGAAATGGTAAGCATAGAGTTTTAAGGAAACTAATTCATATCATGTAACTTGAGGTCTGACTGAAAAAAATGACCATAACTTAGAAATAGTCCATAAGCAATAAAAGCATCTTAACCACATAATTAAGAGGCTTCTCAAAAGATAGCTAAGTGCTTAAAATAGTCTTGTGGCTTTTTATTGGGAAGATGGGACAATGTTTTTGGTGTTACAGAAAATGGGTATGTGAGAATTTAAAAATGCTGACTGTGTTTAAAGTAAATAAACACTATTTTCAAAATTATGTAAGAAAGGGCTGGGATTGTAGCTCAGTGGTGCCATGCCTGCCTGGCAAGAGCAAGGCCCTGCGTTCAATCCCCAGGACTGGCAAAGAAATTATGTAGGAAAAATTCACTGACCTTGTACCAACTATACAGATTTGACAATGTCTATAATTTTATAGTCAAGAATGTATAGCAGATATAGATGTGCTGATTTAAATATTTTCAAAATATCTGTGAATATAACTTAACTTTAAATGAGCAGTAGACATTTTATACTAATCTTGGTTATTTTATCCTTTTGTTTATCAGTCTTTCCAAAATATTTATGAAATGTCTTATTGTTTAGTAGCTTATGATAATCTATGCAAACTCCTCTTGTGTAAATCATATTAGTATTCGTTTTTAAGTTCCAAAGGGAGAAATAACAACAGTGACAGGGTTTTAAAAAAGCTTTTCATTTCATTCTTACATTCTCACATGCACTCCATGATAGCCAGTTATTTGTTGCCTGTGTTAATCAGCTTCTGTAGTGTGATAACATACCTGAGAAAATCAGTGTAAAGTAGGAAAGATTTATATTGGCTCATAGTTTCAGAGGATGCAGCCCATGGTAATTTGGTCCCGTTACTTTGAGCCTGAGGTGAGGGCAAACATCAAGGTAGAAAGCATGTGGTGAAGCAAAGTTGATCACCTCCTAGAAGACAGGACACACAGAGAGATATAAAGAGCCAGAGAGGAAAGATTTGAGGACAAGGTATGGTCTCTAAGGTCATAAACTCATAATCCACTACCATCAGTTCAGCACTGTCTCCTCAGTTTCCATTACCTCCCAATAATAAGATCAAATTATCAATTGCTCAGTGGATTAATTCACTGGTGAAGTTAGAGCCTTCATGATCCAATCATCTTCCAAAAGCCCTACCTTTAAACATTGCTGAATTGACCAAGCTTTCCACACATGAGTCTTTGGGGAACATATCATATCCAAACCATACAATTGTCTAAAGCCACACTATTTAGTTGTGCTGCTACTAACAAATACTAAAGAAAGGTGTGCCTGAACAGAGCCTCTGGTGAAAACACTGGCAGAGAGATCTTGACAAATATGTTTACCTGTTACACAGTGTTTCATCTTTATAAACTTTCAACAGACTGATTTTCATAGATATAAAAAGATCTCTGACCTCTGCTTCTTTGTGTTCATTTGTACAAGTAATTGAGAACTAATTTAATAGATTCACACAATATTTCATCTGTTTGAAAATAAGGGAGCTTCCCTATTTTCCCAGGGATATGGGGAGAAGTTATTAAAAAAGAATATCGAGGAACTGTTCTGTTTTTCAACAAACATGCCATCTCTATTCATTTCATAGTGCGACATAGAGTTAAGTAAGATTTAATTTTATAAAATTGGAAAATCTTTCAAGTGTATAGTTCATAAGTGAGCATGCTGACATTGGTTTCCAACATAGGTGGAAATTTAAGGAAAAACTCAGTAATTCTGATTCCTTTAGCAGTACAAGCAGTTATTTGAAGAACAAAGCCCTGATAGTTTTTGCAAGAAAACTCAGGCATGTTGATATCAATGAGATCTTACAACAGTTACAGACTTGTTTCTTTATTGCCTTGTTTGGCAGGTAAGTCTTGCCTCAATTATGACTCTGTAGTCTTTATACCAGATTGACATAAAGACTGGGATCAAGGAAAAGAATGCTTTGTTTATAGTTTTGTGTGCTCTATATCTCATTGCACTCCATTTCACTATCCATAAAAACATTTCAACTTTAATGGCAGTTAACCAATTTCAAACCTGTTTCGGGGTTCAGACTAAAGGGGTGATACACATTTCTTAAAATCACTTTTATAGGCTGTGCCATATGGCAGCTTTTAATTTTAACAATTTTCATGAGGGTTTAAATGTAATAATGCATTTCATGTAATAATAACACTTAATTATTATTATCTACTGTTTATCCAGTGATCTCATGGTAGGTTATAAACACTAATTAATTGAGATCTACAAAACCCTGAGAAGTTCCAAGTACAATGGCCATGTGACATTTACCAACTTATTTTTCTAAATGTTACTTTGAAGTCATTGAATACTTAATTAGTGATTATAACTCCAGTTGCTATTTGAGAAACTTGAACTAGAATAATTTTCATCTTTTTTTCCATGCTTTTCAAATACAGTTTTTATTCATGATTTCTGAAAAGAACCAGAGAGTGATTTAACTAGTTAATTTTGACCAAGGGTTGGGACTACATTCTTAGGAATATTCAGATGAATGAGAAAACTCTGTTGATATTTTCAATCTGTTGGATATTTTAATAGGGGAGCACCTTGTTAACTGCTATAATATATAGAAAAATAAACTGTGACCGAGGTGTGCACTGATTTCACAAAGATTTTATCATGAGCCTAGCTCATCCTTTTCACACTTCTTCTGGTACCCTTTTGACATTCTACTTTCAATTCGAAGTATGAACTCTGTAGTAATGGGAAAGAGCTGTGCTATAACGGGAGAGAACTTGTAATACATTAGTAATCCAGACGTCTAGGCTCTCCTAGGTACATGATTTAGGAATTTATTTCACCATTTTAAGTTTTCTATAGAAAATGCAGACAAAATAATATATACTCTATTATTCCTCAACATTGTGGCCATTACAAAGTGAAAAAATATTTAGGGTCTCTGCTTGGTTCACATCCACTCAACAAATACCTAATGCCTATTATGTGTCAGTCTCTGTTCACAAGGCTTGAAATATAAATAAATAAACACATGTAAGAAATATAAATAAACAAACATAAATAAACACAGGTAAGAAAGAAAAACAGAGAATAAATAATTACTATTTTCATGAAGGTTATTATCAAATGAGCAGGGTGCTTTGGCTTGAATGTCCCCTCTAAAACTCATGTTGAAATGTGACTGCCATAGTGACAATATTAAGAGGTGGGATTAATACTTTTATAAAAGGATGAGTTTAGACATTTTCTATCTCTTTGCTGTCTGACTTCTGCCATGTGGGAATGAGGCATTCAAGGCACTATATTGAAGTCAGAATCATTTGACCTATAGGTGTTTTGATGTCAGACTTCCCAGCTTTGAGAATTTTGAGCCAACAAATTTCTGTTTATTGCATTACCCAATCTGTGGCATTCTTTGATAGCAACCTAAGTGGACTAAGACATAAGAATCCTAGCTCAATACATTTTCTACCACTTCTACGTGATCTTAGGAAAACTATCTGACCTTACTATAATCAGTTTTTTAAGCACTGCAATGAAGAGTGGGAAAAATAGTAATACTTACATGTCAACATTATTTTGAGAATTTTTGCCTTTCCCATCACAAAGAGATCGATCAGTTTGCGATTCTAGTAATATTTAGTGAATTCCAATCGATTTATAGTCACTGTGTTGCTTTTCTCTTTGCTGAGACAAAATACCCAACACCGAAAGTTAAAGGGGGAAAGGTTTATTTAGCTCACAGTTTGTAGAGGTTTCAGTTCATAATCAGCTGATTCCAAGGCAGGGTGGCTTGGCATAGGGGCTTCACAGAGGAGAAACAGTTCATGGAGCCCTCAGGGTAGCAAAAGCAACAAGGGAACCTTAGGGAATAAAGGCAACAACTTTCTGCCCTTTTTATCTTATCTAGACTACAAGGATTAGGGTGGTGCCAAACCAATCAGTGCACTGGTTTAGTAATCACATGCCCTTAACCCCAGTGTCATACACTCTAGATTCAGCCACCTCTGAAAAAGCCACCCATGACCACAGGAGGCTTTATAGCGAAATCTAGACCCAAACCATAACATTCTGCCCCTGGCCCCTCAAAGATTCATATGCATTCCTTTACACAAAAGGCATTTAGTCCATCTCTAAGAGTTGCCAAAGTCCTAACAGTTTCAGCATTGCTGAAAAGTCCAAGTCCAAAGTCTACTCTGAGATTTAAGACAAATTCTTAGCTGCAATCCTCTGTATAAATGAAAAGAAAGTTAAATACTTTCAACATTCAGTGGGACAAGATACACATTTCCATTCCAAAGGTTACAAACGGGGATAGCAAGGAATGGGAAAAAAGCAAGAACAAAATCCAGTAGGGCAGACATTAAATCCCACAGTCATTAAATCCACTTCCAGCATCCCCAGCAATCTGTGGCAAGGTGTGAACTCCAAAGGGCTTGGATGGCTCTGCCCCTACTGCAATTCTGGTGGTTGTAGCTTCCATGGCTTCTCCCTTTGGTCGGCTCTGCACTCTCCTTGTAGTTTTCCTCAGATGATCCATGTTCCTGGCTTTTCCAAACTTCTTGGGTCTCCACCACACTTTTGGCTTCACTTCTACAACTTCACACACTGATCTTTCTGGGGTAGCATACTGCCTGACCTCCCAGGCCGTCCTGTGAAATCTGGCTGGAATCTTCAATGATCCCCAACTCTTGCATTCTTCATGACTGTAAAGCCAGCACCTGGTGGATGATTCCAAGATCTGCTGCCAGCTTGAGCAGTAGCCAGGTCCCCTTGAATCATGGCTGCAGAAGCCTGGAAAGCCTGGATAGCTGAGCACAATAAAATGAACCTTAAGGAAACATTTCTGTAAGTGGTCATCTGGAGCAAGTGTCCCAGGGACTCTTTCTTTAAGGAAAGCTTTACAGTTTTGCAACCTTTAGTCTATCAAGTGTGGGGTCTTGATAATTCCTGAGATGCCTTCAAGTCATCTTTCTGATTATCCTAATGCAAAGTACTTGGCTTTCTTTTAGTGCTAATCTTTTCAGCCACAATGCTCTCCTTTGTCCCAACTTTGTAGGTGCTTCCTTTCTGATGAGACTACAGACTTCTCATGTCTGCTCTTTGCTCTTGATTCTCACCTTAGACCTGGCTAAAAGCAGTCAACAATATCCATGCCACAGTCTGAACACTGGGTTGCTTTGAAATTTTCTCCACCAGATTAATTAGTCCACTGCCCTTATCTCAGTCTTCTGAAGAGACTCAGGACACGGGAAAAATGAAGAAAAATTTTCTACTGGAGCATAACAAATATGGCCTCTATTCCACCTGCCAATAGAATCTTTGTTCCCCATTGAAATTCTCTGATCCTGGTTTTTAGGGTTTATATTCCTCTCAGGATTCTGGTCTCCTGAGCTCTGACCAGAATTTCCCATCAAGTTTGGTTTACAGTGTTCTAGGTCTTTTCTAGCTAGCATTTTCAAACCTTTCCAAACTCCTCCTGCAATTCAGTTCCAAAGGCTTCTATCCTACATGGTCAGGTACAGTCACAGTAACAACCCCACTTCTCTGGTACTAAAGTCTGTATTAGTGATTTTCTCAATATCCAACATACACAAATCAAAGAGGAGAGGTTTATTTGACTCACAATTTCCAGTGGCTTCAGTCCAAAGTTGGTCTGCTATGAGGCAGGAATGCATGGTGCAAGGACATGACAGAAGAAAGCTACTTAGCCCACAGAAGCTAGAAAGCAGAAAAGGGAAAATCCAAGGATAAGAATACACCCTTCCAGGTTATACTTCTACTGACCACCTCTAACCAAGGCCTACCTCCTAACAGCGCAATTAGCTATGAAATTCATCAATAAATGAATCCTCTGATGAGTATCACACCCCCAAGATCCAAACATAGGAGACTCTTGAGGGACATATCAGATCTAAACCATAACACCATATGTATTCTGTCTTTTAGCCTCTTATCAGAAATATGATATGGAAATATTTTATCCCATAGTTTAGGTTGACCTTTTACTCCTTGATTATTTCCTTTGATATGCAGAAGCTTTTAAGTTTGGTCTCATGTGTCTATTTTAGCTTATTTTTTCTTTTTTATCTGTGCTTCTGGTATAGCTAAGAAAGCACAGCCAAATCTCATATCCTGAAGCTTTTCTTTATATAGTTCTTTCTTCTAGGAGTTTTGCAATTTCAGCTCTTAATCCATTTTAGTTGCTTTTTTTTGGTACGGGGAATTGAACTCGGGACCTTGCGCTTGTGAGGCAGGCAGCAGAACCACTGAGCTAAATCCCTGGGACCTTAGTTGCTTTTTATACTTGGTGCACAATAATGATTTAATTTCATTTATATATATATATGTGGAGATCTAGTTTTCCCAACATTACTTGTTAAATAGATTGCACTTTCTTCCTATGTAGTCTTGACATCTTTGTAAAAAATTAGTTAACCAGATGCCCAGGGTTACTTCTGACCTTTCTTTTCTTTTCCATTCATCTATATATATGTCATGCTAGTACAACATTATCATTTTTATTGTTGCTTTATTGTACACCTAAAAAACAGAAAATGTGTGCCTTCTCATTTTGTTATTTTTCAAGAATATTTTGACTGTAAAAACAGATTGCATTTTTTATAATGGATTCTCTTTTAGTTAGGGTTTTTCTGACATTTCCTGATACGATTAGATTTTGGTTTTACACTTTCAGGAGGAAAGCCACAGAAGTAATATTGGGCTCTTCTCAGTTCGTCATGCACTCTCAATTAGTTCATTTTTGATGAGATTAGCTTTGGTTAAGTGATATCTTAGAGTTTTAGGAGTCATCATTTGACAATTTGTTTCTTTTTCCCTCCTTATCCAATCTATGACTTGTTCTTCTAGATTTCATCATCTAAATATTTCTCAAATCCATCTCCTTTTCCTCTGTGTCTTTGATCCAATCACACTAACTTTATTTTCTCAAACATGATATTTTTGTTGCTGTTGTTAGGAATACAATCACTATCTTAATTTTCTGACTCCTGGTTTTTCAGTTCAAACATTATCTCCTCCAGGAAGCCTCCCTGACTTTTACGGACAGCTCAAGTCCCTGTTTTTATACTCTTGGAGCACTGTGTGATTTTTATTCTTAAGATTTACTTCTGTGGTAAATTTATATATATATATATTTTTTTATATTAATATTTACCTCCTCAATAAATGGCAAACTGTATGGCAGCAGAAACTATTCCCTGCTTTTGTGCCAGAACAAGGTGTTTGGCTTATAACATTGATAAATGATAGTCGAATAGTAACAGCAAAGGTTCCGAATGCTTACTATTTTCCAGCAACTCTGCCAAATTCTTGTCATCTATGTATTATGTCAGCAAAAGCACATGTGAATGAAATACTGTTCATGAAAACATTTGTTTTGGGCCGGGGATTTAGCTCAGTGGTTCCGCTGCCTGCCTTGCAAGCGAAGAGTCTCAAGTTCGATCCCCGGTACCAAAAAAAAAAAAAAAAAAAAAAAATTTGTTTTAATTTTCATTGAATTTTCCATTTGTACAAACATTTGTAAATTATTTAAGGGTGTATCTGCATTAGGTAACTTACTACCTACAATACTGTGAACTACAATAAGGAATCTACAATAAAAATAGACATAATTTCACAAAGCAGACTTTATAAATACTGGCCAGTGTCTTTTAAAAATAACTTTTGTACAGTTGAGACATGTACTTTCTTTCTGCATTTGTAAACTTACAAAACTCAAACTGCATGGAAAATTCTTTTAAAATTACTAACAGAGTACACAAGCAGTGAGGATTATATAAATTCACAATGGACATAGATCAGGCTCTGTAATTTTTAATGAATGAAGTTAGAGGAAGACAATTATTGCTAAGATAATGACACTATGGTTCATATACCATTATTGTCTTTCAAAAATTACCTATCAGCATCAATTAGCTAAACCCTCTTTGGAGGTCTTTGACTTCTGTCATCAAGGGCAAACATCATCTGATTTTAGCTTTTTTTTATCTGCTAAAGGTCAACAGTAGAACTTTTGCTTTGGATCAGCTTTAAAAGAGTGAAAAGTCTAGATTGACCTTATCTATTCTTTTTTTTTTTTTTTTTCTGGTGCTGGAGAACAAACTCAGGGCCTTGAACATTCTAGACAAGTGGCCTTCTATTAAAGTATATCCCCTATTTTATTTGTTCTTTAATTATATATTATATACATGTAATTTTAAAGATAGAATCTTTGTTGCTTTAGAAATTGTTTGCTGTAGTTGTCATTAACTTGCAATTTAATTAATGCTATGTTTTTCATGGGTGAGAAAGTAAAGAGTTAATTCTTTAGTACATGTTTTACTATGAAGATTAATAGAAAAAAACTTGCATGAAGAGATTAGTCTGGCCACTGACATATTAGAAAGCTGCCTGAATTTTCATTGTCTCAAAGTAAGGATTATTTGGAATCTTATTTAACCTCTTATCCTCTTAGAGAGACTAGACTTTGGCAATATCAAGTCACAGCCCTAGGTTCGGGGCACCAAAGTTCCCTTTAGGATGTGTGTATAAACTAACTTATGACACCAGGGTAAATATTCTTTTATTTATGAGCCGTACTGAGTAAAATTTTATGATCAGCCTAAGCATGAAGGAGAATGCTGAAGTACAGCCAGTTGGT